AGGGATCTAAAATCGTTTTTTGACTTAACACATACAAACAACCTATCGATTCTTGAGTTTAGAGGCTTGACATGTGAAACTATCAAATGATATACTTATCATTAATAACAGCAATCCAAATAGACAAGAATTTGAGGATATAGAATCGAAAAATATAACTCTACTATTATATAATATGGAGGCGAGGTAAGGACAGAGAGGTTTTTCTAATCAGTAATCACTTTTAAAGTCTGGATATAACTCTCAGAGTTTCTAAATAGGAATAGGAACATACTTCTTTTTTTTTGTGGAATTTTAACTCACCCACATTCATTATTTTTGTAAAATTAAATTTTGTAACTCAACTGGATATTGTTTACACAATCCTGTTTTTTCATGGTCAGTATTATAACTGCTCACTTTATATTGGTCACTATATATTTGTTATTTTTTAAATTCTTATCTATTTGTAACAGCAACATCAACGTATGTAAAGTCTACAAATAACCAACAATGAGTCAGAAACCAAAGATCCGAAACACTTCTTTTATTATTCAAAGTAGTGATGCATCATAAGCTTTTATTTAGTTAAAGTAGAAGATCTTTATGAGTCGTATCCAAGCATCAGTAGAGGACCTTGTAGAGGTCATGACAATTTGAGCATCAGGACCACATGAGCCAAGGAGAGAAAAAAATACATAATGATCTTGACATTTTCTATGAGTGTGAGCAGGATTGATAGTGGTGTCAGTTCCTGTACTAACCATCGGAGAAGGACAAACGATATCTCTAATAACATATCCATAAAGATCATGGGCTTGATAGAGATAAGTGATTTGGGTGTGCCATATGTGATGATTATTGGAGTTTAAATTTGATAGGAAGAATGGCTATAGTAGAAATTTCCACAAGGAGGGTGGCGTTTGTAGAAGCCACAATAAGAAATTTGGGATCATAACAAGCTGTTAAACTATTGGCAAATCTGATACCATGTACATATATTCACACATATGCAAAATAATAGTTTTATGAATTGATTATCAATGCTTGTGATACATATCTTATATAATAGTGAGAAAGGTTGTTTTTAACAACCATATCAAAAATTATTGGAATATAAATTTGTAAAGTTATGGCACAAATTTCTTCCATATTTCCTGTCTTCCGATCTAATAATTTCTTCCATTTAGTCTATATGGAGAATGAATATTTTGCAGTTCTCCGGGTTGTTGGGATTGGGTATTCCTTGTTTATGGGGTTGGGTTCACAACTTCCTCTTTCCTTGACATTATAGCAAGGTGGCTGAGTGGTGAAGAATAAAAGGAAAGGTTGTGCGATTAAGGCACAGAGAAAACAACAAGAAAAAAAATGTGCAATGAACATAGGAAAGATGCAACAGCAATGCAGGCTACCATCTTAGGGTTAGAAAAAAATGCAATAGCAATGCAGGCTGGCGTCTTTGGGTTTACGGTGCGTAGACAAAGCTTCCTAGGTCGAAAGCTCTGATACCATCTAGACAATTAGGTTAAATAAAAACTGATTTTCTACCAAGTAATACAAAGAGATCATACAAGATTTGTTCAAGAGACCTATGCTATTTTAGGAAATATAATAACTATTCTGTTGTAGAATCCCTTGATTTATGGGATTGTTCCTAATTATTCAAATCTGTACAGATTACAAGGAAATATACAAATTTCCTAATTTATTCTTTCCTAAAATACTATTTGATTTCCCACATATAGCAATCCCAATACTAAGTTGTGCTTTCGGTATTCGCCATAGCAAAAGACCAAAGTAAATAATTAATATAATATAATACTCTAACTTGAAGTCTTCTGATTTATCAAACATGATCAAGAACAGAAAAAACTAATGATGCACCAAAACGATACGCATATCGAATACGACATGTATCCAACACGACAATACGATTATTTTAAATAATACATGATACAATACCTTTAAGACACGGATCATCATATGTATCAATATTCATGCAATATAATAAATGTATACATGTAATTTTTATCAAAATTCATACACATTAAATATATAAATAAATAATTGCTATTTTGCATATCCAAATTAAAAACATACTTATTATACATTACTAAAAACAAATAAAATATAAATCATTTCATCATAAATAAATAAAATCATATTACCAATCTCATTTTTTTCTTAAAATTATCTATATAGAAGACGATTTTCATTTACGGATCATCAAGGACCAATATTTCTATGTTTCTATATTAAACATGTTTATATATCTTATTTAGCTATATGGATATTTTATAATCTTTTCAAAATTTGGATACTTTATCAATTTATAATCAACAATTAAAATAAGTACCAAAAAGATAAATAAATAAGGGAAAATAATGACTCATCAAATTCCCCCACACTTAGCCTTTTGCAGTCCTGTGCAAAATCATGAAGTAGAGCAATGAACAAATCTAGAACAACAAAGAGAGCCACATGGAGAAAAACAAAAACAAAAGTAGCAACACACAAATAGACAGAGTTACATACTCCTTAATGAATCCTGGGAAAAGAGAGGAATAGACAACATGCAACACAGGAGTCAAAGAAACCAGATACCTATGAACATCATCCAAGTATTTCAAAACATGGCAAGAAAATTAGTCAGTTCAAGAGGTGAATCCAAAGCAACAGAACCTCACAAGATATGTACTATATCACTGTATCTCTCAAGTGTTTAGCCTACTGTATACTCTCATAGCACTCATGAAAAACAAGCAACAAATAGACTTGGCAAGCCTTTAAAATCAACACCCAACACACATGCACATAAGGATCAAAAGGTCTTTTTAGGGTTGTTATGAGGCCAAACACTGCTGCATACACTACACACAAACTACAAGTCATTAGAGAATAGTTTTAGATACTATAGAGTAATTTTTAAACAGCTTATCTTCAAATAAATGTACAATTAGATGTTATTTCTGTTGCCTCTCTCTTTGAAAGTATCTGTCTATTCCAATTGCTCCTAGAAGGTTTTACCTTGCTACTGTTTATTAACTTGGTATTCAAGAACTAATTTGTATTGAAGAAAACTTTTGTAGATCAAATCAGTAATATCTTTTAGGGACCAAATTGTACTTTCTTTCCATTCCATAAACAATAAGTCAATTCAACCTCCTACCCAATATGGCTTATCAAAAGGGTTCAAAGTAGATTCTTTGTCATTTGTTATTGATAGCAGCATTTTATTTTATTTTTTATCACTAAATCACTATTATAGGGAATGATCATCTCATGTGAAATTTTTACTTGAATTTCTCATGTGAAAACCTCTACCATCAAAATGTGATACCTTCTATTTTTTATTATATAAGTTTTCTCTTATTTTTAATTAAGGACTGAGATATCACTTAACAAACAAAAATGTCACATGAGAAGATGTAGGCCTTTCATTATATTAGCATTTGGGCATTCATTGGTTGAATTCTTGATAACAAGTGAGAGTAAAGATGGTCTTTGCAAGTTTCAACTACCTACGGTGACATCTCAATTCTCATCAATATTCAACTACAACATCTTTAAGATCTGACATCTCAATTCTCATCAATATTCAACTACAACATCTTTAAGATCTCATAGTGATACCATACCTGTATGCTGCTTATAATTTGCAGTCAAGACACATGACCGAAAATTTGATACAAAGCATAAAACCTTGGTTGAATTAAACCATAAAAGCTAATATTGTGATTGAAGAACATAAACCTTATGAATTTCACACCACAATTGGAAGTAGCTATACTTCTAATATAGGATTCAAATGGAGTCTGATTGGGTATAAGTCAAAAGTGCTTTTAAGAATTTTTTTATAAAAACTAAAGAGTATTTTTCAATAGAGAAATTCTCAAAAACACTTTTAAATTTGTATCTATTTAGACACTAAATTTCATATCTTACTTTTAGACTCTAAGAAATAGTTTGCTCAATTTGTTCATTTTTTTTTTTCTGTGGCAAGTGCATTTCTAAGAACCATTCATGTATGGAGAGTTGCATTGCATATAATATGGAAAGGAACATTTGAAAATAAATGAAAATGTGATATCACTGAGGTGTTGGTAGATAATCATGTATGTCCAAATAATAATGGGTTCCTAAAATTACCCTTTCATAGTCTTGAAGCGGCATTTAGTAAAGAAAAAAATAAAGGGAAAGGTAAAAGAAAAAGAGACAAATGAAAGGAACAAAGAAAATCCAAGATGCCACCAAATGGAAAATTTTCATAGTAGTGCCAAGTTAATCACAGGATCTGTTACTCAATGATTTTAATTATTATCATTGTCTCACTTCAAATTTTTCATATTATGCTAATCAAATTTTGAAAGCATATATATATAAGCCTCAAGTGGAGTTAACCAAAGGCTATAAAGTACCGTTCTGTTGGGTCACTACTAGGACAAGGATATTTCTGCTAATACCACTTTACAGGTCACTCATGCTATCTGTGATTAGAATAATGTGTGTGTCTTTGCTTTGGAGATTCTACATCATGATTTCGAGATATAATATAAGGCTGGCAATATAATAAATTATGCATGTATAATTTTGAAATCCTAATTGATACCGCACTAATCTTTGCTAAGTCTTCCACGCATTTTGACTTTTACTATTTTAAACAGTCAAAAAGTCTCTCAAATCTAATTGCTTTTCAAGGAACACCATGCAGTTAAGAAAAAACAAAAACAGTATAGTAAAGTGAATGCAATTCTTGCTTTACTGAGCCAAATATGAATTTACCAACCTATCCAAAAAGAGACACCGTTGAATTGGAATAACCATACGAAACAAAATCCACTAAAACTTACACTGTCGTTTAATTTACAAACATACAGTATCATTCAATTATATAGTTAGATTAATAATTTTTTCGATAATTACTTTAAAAGTTATATTATATTATATATATATATATATATGATAATTACTAATTGGTTTGTTAATTTAAAAATCATTACTCATTGTACATAAAAGTTGAACTCTTTATTTTCTTTCTCTTTTACTATCCAAATCATATCCAGAATCAAGGCATGCCCCTGGGACATGGGAATCAACTTGATGTTCGCATAATCCATTCTCGTCCAAGATAAAATAATATTTGACTAATGAAATTCATGTATCGCAAGTGCGGATTAATTTTTACTTGTGAAATTTGAAATATTATGTAGATGATGTTTATGAAAAAAAAAAGTATTTTCCACAATCAATATTTTACACACTGGTATGATAATACTTCAAGCTATATATGAATCAAACCATATAAAAAAAATGAAAAATTTTACCATTTCACCTTCATCTCTTTGTGATGCAATTCCTAGCCACCAATACACCGGTTGGTGGAGCAGTCATCTCCATCTGGCATCTGCTATGCAAGGAGTAAGACAAGTGGAAGAACCCCATAGTTACTCTCACTTTAAACGTTCCTCTTACATTGTAGCTAACCCTATTACTCTGCACCTGTTTCTTAAGGTTCATACCAATATCACTAGGCAGAAACACCAAACTTGATATAAAGTGCAACGATTCCAACCTGCTTTCCCTTCTCCTCTGAGTGAAGGGTTGAATTGATTGTGTTGATATGATCCTGTCTGAGAAGAAAAGGTCAACATCCAAAGACTCAAACCTCACATCAATTCTCCTGTTGGGGTTGGTGATGTTTGCAAGGAGGATGAAGTCCCCATTGAAGTATTGTGGTGAGTCAAAGTAGACTGCATTGAGGTTTGCATTGGGAATGTCAAACGTGGGGTTTCTAGGCTTGAGGCCTAGGAAGATGATCAAAGTTGCTACTCCAAAGAAGATGAGAACAAGGCTGAATACGAGGCACAGTACTGCAGCAAACCATGTGATTGGATTGGTCCTTTGAAATTGAGGTTGCCTTAGTCTTGGTGTTGTTGTTGGTGGTGGCGGCCTAATTGAGTTTGGTGTAACATAATTTGGTGCATTTGATTCTTGAGAATGTTGTTTTATGGTTTGTTTTTTTGAATCTTTTGATATGACAGTTTGGTTTGGAGAGACTTGTTTGGATATCCTTGTGGCTAGGGGTGGAGGTGGAGGTGGAGGTGGGAGGGCAAGCATGTTTGAGATTTGAGAATGAGTATTTGCTAGTAGAAAAGGTTATACTCTACTCAAACAAAAACAATGAGTGAGAGATGGATGTGGATATTAAGATAATGATAATGATATATGATGGTGGTGGTGTTTATTTTTTTATTCTAGATGGCGTGATGGGTTAAGGAAAGTGAAGAAGGGATAAAGAAGCTTTTGATTTAGTAGTGGGGACAATGTGTTTTTTCTAGGTATTGACTAAAGGTGGGAATATGAGGAGGTAAAGTGGAGCTGCATTGAGATATGGATTTTCAATGTTGGTGGTATATTGGTACGTACGTGGTAATGTTTGAGAAAGTTCTAAAGAATGAGTTGAACAGAGCCCACACATTCTATGTTTACCCTTTAAGGATGTAAGAACGAAATGATTGTCAGAATGCTTAGTATGTTTGGATGATTTCATTTCAAGAGAAATAATGATTTACTTTAGTACAAGTTTTATAATTTTTTTAAAAAAATAAGTTAAATAACCACATAATATAGTTCGAGACAATAAGTGTGTGAGAAAGAAAGCATATTATCAATCAAGTGTTGGGATTTATAAAGCATAGCAGTGAGAAGATTTATACCAGGCCAGCTTGATTTTTTTAGAAAATAAATAAATAAAAATCTTATATTTTAGAATATAATTAAATGAATTTTATAAAATAAGAAATAATTTTTGAAAATAGAAATAATAAAGGAGGAGGGTTCAAACGATACCGGTGTAACTTTTACTAAGTATTACACCGCTCAATAACTTTATATTAAATGTGAATTTTGTAAATCCAACCGTTAGATTGAAAGTTCATATCTCTTAGATCATATATATCAAATTTTATATTAATCTAAGATAATTTGATACTTCATTCTCATAAAACAAAATTGACGTAATATATACATTTTAAAATATACTAAAATATGAACACTTTGATTACCTTCAAGTTGTTGTTCAATTTTAACAAAATTTGACATATATGATCTAAGAGATATGAACTTTCAATCTAACGGTTGAATTTTCAAAATTCACATTTAATTTAATGTTATTAAGCGGTGTAACATTTAGTAAAAATTACATCAGTGTTGTTTGAACCCTCCTCATAATAAAGAATACTTTTATATTTGGGTTGTTTTTGTTTTAATAAAGGTAATAAGTGTTGTTAAATTATTGGGCTGAAGCTCAAAAGTCTATACTTAGTAAATAGGAAACACAAGTTAACCTAATATCTTCTTATTTTTCTCTTTCTAAAATTGTGCTCTATTGAAAAGAAAAAAAAAACTCGTGGAGAATAGGAGAAGATTTCGAGGCCGAAATACACTACTAGAAAAGTGTCATTTTCCTGCGAATTTTCTTGTAAAAAAATATTTGCATAAATTTTTTGCGAATTTTCTTGCAAAAAAATATTCGCAGAAATCTTTTGCGAATTTATTTGCGAAAAATAATTTACAAATATTTCTTACAAATTTTGCTACAATTTTAATAATCATAAAAAAAAATTTCCATGATAAAAATTTGCAGAAAATATTGTAGGAATTTTATTTTGTTTCTTGCAAATTTTCTTGCAAAAATAATTTCGCAAGTAATGTTTACTAAATGATAGAAAAAATTTTCAGGTAACTTTTCTTGCGAATTTTCCTGCAAATTTTAATCCACAGGAAAAATAAAAAAAATATTTAAATTTATAAGTTTAATATTTTAAAAACACTTCAAGTCCCACATCGCTTGAAAATAAAACAATTAAAGAGTATATAAGTTAGGGCAACACTTACCTTACAAGTTGATTTGTATGGTTGAGTGTTAGGCTTATAATAATCTACAATCTTAGAATTTAAAAGATTATATATCACATGTTGGAGGCATGAAAACAAATGCTTCGAATGAATTCATTGTGAGCATTTGAAAGTTGAAGAATTATTGATAGAGTTTATAGTAATTTCTTTAATTTTTTTCGTAAAAAATATTCATGCAGAATTTCTTGCGAAAAAATTCGCAAGAAACTTTCTTGCGAATTTTCCTGCAAATTTTTTTTTGCAAGAAACTTTCCTGCGATTTTTTTCGCAAGAAAATTTCCTGCGAATATTAAAATTCGCAAAAATATATTATCCACGAAGGTATTACCTACAGATAAAATTTTGCAAAAAAATTTGTAAGAATAACATTTACTACGAATTTTTCATAAAAATTCACAGGAAAAGTCGCATATAATAAGAAAAATTCTAGTAATGATAGGAAATCACACTAAAATACCTTCTCATTACCGAAAGTTCTTTTAAGGGAGATAAGAATGAGTTATCTGCTTATAGATATGAGATAATTATCGGTTGTAACATCCTAAGATTTTCATAATTAATTAATTAGGATTATTTTATAATGATGAATGTTATTAAATAAAAATAAAAATATTTTGAAACTAATTATTTATAAATTATTATTTAATTATAAGGGGGGAGTAAATATCTATAGCTAATTTATTTTTACAATAGGTTTAAAAGTGAGTTAGGGTTTAAGAATTTTTTATACAAAGAATAGTATATTAAGTTTGATTCTTATAAATTTAAATTGTACTTTTGTGATAAGAAGAGGATAGCGAATCAGAAATAGTCCAAAATAATCTCAGAGATTTACATATGATTTTTGGCATTTATTAAGATAAGAGGAGAATAAGAAATTCTCTCCAATGTGTGAATGCATGATAGTGAGATTATTCTCTGATCTCATTTTGTGTGTTGAGGGAGAAATTCCAATTTGTGATTCGACTTCACAATTGTGTGTTCAATGTCATCCCTATATGAGTTCAAAGATATATATTAATTAATAAGTAGTCATTTTTATAATTTGTACAATTATCCTATTGTTATGTTTACCTATAGGGATGGGCAAAAAAAATTGAACTGAACGGGTGGTGAACTGAACTAAATTGTACTATAAAAAATTGAACTGTTTGTAAAAAAATTGAACTGAACTGTTTAATAAAAATGAACTAAACTGAACTGTTGGAAAGTTAACTGTAATGAACTATAAAACTGAACTGAATTATAAAAATTGCACTATTTTTATAAAAGGATAAAAATTAAATATGTCTAACATGTTATGTCTTAATGGATTAACTTGATAGTCTAATAACCAAAACTTTAGAAAAAAAAAGTGATAAAAAAAATTGTATCAATTTTGTCGAAGCTAACAGATCAATTGAGTTATGTTGGACTACTTATTTTTAGGCTTAAAATTCACTGAGTTTGTTTGACTTAATTTTATATTTTTTTCTTTGAAAAATTTAAATAAAATGGAAAATAAAGTAAAGTTGGCAAATGTGTCCTATTTTGATAGATCAATGAGTCAAAATTGTTCAATTCAAAATATCATAACAGTTCAGTGCAGTTCAGTTCAAGTTTTTATAATATAGTTCAGTTTAGTTCAATAACACAAAAAAATAGTTTAGTTCAGTTCGTCTGAACTAATATTTAGTTTAGTTTAGTTCATGAGAACTACTTTTAAGTTTAGTATAGTTTTTATAAGTTCAGTTCAGTTCAGTTTATTTTGCACACCCCTATTTACCTATATATCTTTTAACTCTCTCTTATCTCTTAATTATTGAATACTTAAAAAATATTTTTAATATTATATAATATTAATTTAAAACTATTAAATATTTATTTTTATAAAATTTAATCTTAAAATGTCTCTATATATATATATAAAATTAATTTTATTCATAATGAAAATTAAATTATCATATTTAAAATAAAATTTTAAATTAATTTATTCAAACAAAATATTTAAAAAATAATATAAATTAAAATCAAAATAATTTAAATGTTTAAAAATTTTAAAATTTTAAAATAATTCAAATATTGAGGAATGTCAGCTCCCTGAAACTAAGAAACACATAATTCATCTTTGGAGGGCGCAGGTCGAGGGCGTGTCCCATCATTCTTTATGAACACCTTCAATATCCTAAGTCCCCCTCCCAATGTTTTGTTGCTTTCTAATAGAAAATCCAACTCTAGAGAACCCTAATCCTTCGGTTTCCACAGGGCCAGTGTGAAGCTTATATAATGTCATTCTTCGTTAGGACACGATTTATGGATCTGGCTTTGCAAAACCTTTCTTACCTCTAAAGCCAAAACCTATTAAAAATTTTAAATTATAGAAATTGTACCCTCATTGGTTGTGGACCGACCGACATATTAGTATCCTGGGTCGAAGATTTAGAGCTTATTTTGTCACTGATTGTGGATAGCAAAACCAGGTAGTTGCACTATTTATAGCGTGTTTGAATTCGCGTCAGAAAACTACGTCTTGCTGAATTTGACGCGGAAGTAACATATAAAAGCTTCTGATTTTCACGTTTTGGACTCACGTTAACTTCAATAAACGTGAATCCAAACACGCTATTAATCTCAAGATATGTTGCGTCACAGGTTGATTGTTGAAGTGGGGTATTACTTAACTATGGATATTGGAGATCATGGAATCAATCAGTTAATGTAGAAATTATGATGTTTTATCAGGTTGGTCGTGAAAATCAAAGATAGGTTATGATAGGAAGAGACCGTGAAAGAATACTAGGCTAGATTTAATTAGGTAGCGGTTGAGTTGCAAATTCAGATGAACGTGAGGGATTACAAGAAAACAGTGAAATAGTTACAGAAAATAAGCGTCGACTAATAGCCGACATAAATACTGTCAAAAAAGCCGATGCTATTTTAAGATGTAGCGTCGACTTTTTCGACACTAATTTAATTTAAATTTAAATTTAATTAGTGTCGAAAAAGCCGACACTATATTTAAAGAATAGTGTCGGCTTTTCCGATACTAAACTTAATTTAAATTTAGTATCGAAAAAGCTGACGCTATTTTAAGATGTAACGTCGACTTTTTCGACAATATACGTGCTTTGAGAGAGAGAAAGATAATTTTTTCAATGTTATATACGCAAATGTCTTCTGGTGCACTTGGTTATCAAGTTCACTTAACACCTCAAGGATCACGGATTGAGTCTTGGGAATGTTAAAAATACGAAATGAATAAATGATAAGCTAGAAA